TGCTTCTATCAGGATATTCTCTCTAAGGTTTTGAATTTTTTCATCTTCCTGATGTAAGGCAACTCTTTCTCATCTCCTCACAAAGAAAATGTAACCAGGATGAAAAAGTGAGAAAAGAACACAGGAGAAACAAGTACCTTTAATCTTTACCACCAAAAAAAAACCAATTTCCAAATAAAAAAGGAGAAACCCCGAGAACTGATTACATATGAGGCTGAAACTACCCGCAAATACTAAGGCCATTCATCTCTCATCACTGTCTCTCCCTCTCGCTGCGCCCCCACACGAGAACAACCCAGCCCTTGGGGACAATGGTGGCTTTGTGGCGAGTGGGGCTGCGGCTGCCTACACGGACAACAGGAGAAGAATGCTGTGCAGAAACATGCACTTAATGTCATATTGAGGGGGCACACAGGCTTTGTCTCACCCTTTGCTTTTCTTCTTGTCATTTTTCAAATGTGCCACTACACACATAACCCCTCAGTAGCCCACGCTCTCCATGCATTGAGATTTCTTCCCTTGGGTTGCAGGGCAAAAGTGTGGCTACAGAGAAATTGATTCATACAGCAGGTGCATATCACACGGGGAGGACAGGCTGCAGCTAGGGAATGTGCTTTTAATTCAACACAGAGCCCTGCCAGAAAACATCATCTTCACGTACAAAACAGTACTGGAAGAATAGCAGGGAAACAGGAAGGAAGGGAAAATCATGCCATGCATATGAGCAGTGAAATTTGATTTTGAACACAGCAGCAGATAGATTGAACCTGTGGTGACTAAATAATTACAACACCATGACACTTGCTAATAGACAAAGTTAGTTTTGCACCCTGAAGAGGCCACAGGATTTTTCCAGAATTTAATCCACTTTGTGTTTTGGTAAGAAAAGGAAGAAAGAAGGATTAGACAATGAAAGGAATGTGAGAATTAAGGAAAAACATTTTGTCTGTAAACAAATACTGAAAGAAGGATTTACGGTTAAAATAAATTAATCTCTTAAGGATGGCTCATTTTCAACAGCCATAGAGGTTTAGGACCACATGCTATCTTTTAAAATCAACTGGCTTGGCTTTTTATTAAAAAGAAACAGATATAAATATTTTTCTTTTCATTAAACAGAAGAAATTCCAGTCCTGTTTCTTATGACATGCCCAGGGACCAACAGTGGGGAAAAGATGCATTAAGAATAAAACCTGCAAATCTCCCATAAACTGTAGAAGCTACACTTGGCAGCATGAAGACAAAATTCAGAAGAGCATTAAATACATTCAAATTTACATTAAAATTCACAGATTTAATTTGTTTTGCTATTTCTACACACAGACACAAGCTATTTCTCACACTAGCTGAGACATATGTACATGTCAAGCAGGAAAGAACTCCTTGACCCTGCTCTCTAGAAACATAGACTTCTTCCTGGCAAGCAAAAAGAATTACTCCAGTAGTCCAAGCAATTAAATAAATATATCAAGGCACAGAGAAGTTTTTCTGGGAAGAAAACCATGTTCTTTACCTCAGCCAGACATCTTCCCCTGCATTTTCATTGCGCATGATGCTCTGTTTCATTCAGTAGGTGCCACCAATTAAAATGGGAATAAATGATTTTATTAATTTGATTTATAAAATAAACTAATTATCCACAACTCTGATTGTGCAGGAAGACTACTAAAGCAAGAAGAGAGAAAGGTGACATCTAGTACAGTCCCAACGAACACAAATTCCAGTGGTTTTTTTTCCACTGGGTGATTATCTTTCAACCTCTTTACGTACAGATTTCATCACAATGGATGTGGTGGTTGTGCCCAGTGGAGGACAAAGAAGGAAAGTTTTAATGGACGTTAGCTTTCAGGAAAAGCTTTGAGCCTTAGTTCCATGGGATTAGTGAGAATTAAAATAAGATTCAGGAAAAATAAACCCAGAGAATAATAGAGAGCCTGTGATCATTAATCACATAAATCCATTTTCAGTTTAAGTAAATCCCTAGAAGATTCCACACCATTGAAACCCAACCAAACAGAAAAATAAGTATTCCAGTTCCTTGAAGAATGAGAACTATCAACATACTTCTTTATTATATCCCACATTTTTACATCCTTCCATGCCAGTTTTTTTACTTCCATCAGGACAGATTGCAGTGATATTGAAATGAAGACCTTGGATCTGGTTATCCACTTGAATTTTCACTTCAGAGATTAGTTTCTGAAACCAGAAAACAAGTTTTAATTGCAGTGCATCTCAAAATATAATGTACATTAGTGACTAACACCAAGTATGGCTCCTATGTCTGACTAAAAATGAAGAAAGCTTGTCTGTGTGAATAAAGGAATGAATTAAAGCTTTGTTTCCCATGTTTCCCAATTACATTCCAAATATACACAACCAGTGAACTGGTAATTCTGATAAAGAGGATTAGGTTTTCCAGATAAAAATGTTTTCAGCTTTGCTAACATGGTTTTGAGACTGCATTTTTCACAATTTGAAAATCTATTCCAACAATCATGTGCAACAAAAACTGCTCATTGTTTGAGTCTATGCTGCCTTTTAGCCACACACTTAAAATACAACAGTAAACATACATACAACCACTGTTATCCAGCAGAAAAGTTTCCTAATTGACTTGACACTTCAAAAACTTTGGATATTTTGCATTTGTCTTAGAAATTTTTCTTTGAACAAACCTTAGGGTGACATAAAGGCTATTTGGATTATTCTTACTGATTTTCTGGATCAACTACGACTATATAAGCCAACAATTTTGCAATAAAAAATAATGAAAAAGCAACTACTTTGTAACTTATACTTACTACATGACCTAAAATCCTGCTTCCTTCAAAGAAGAAATACTTCTCCTTGACAATTAAAAAATTTATTAAAGCTCTGTACAAATTTATGAGCTGAAAATTGCACAGAGGGATTTTTAAAATTCCTGTCATATTACTATTAAAAATGAGTTTAGTGGGATATTTTTACTGCTACAAATGGAAACTCAATTATATGAATCTTAACACATGTTTATCTTAGTAACTTTTTGAAAATTAGTGACTCATCTTTGGCTTTGAAGCCAGGGATTTTCAGCCAGGATTTTCCATAGCTAAGCATAAGGTTTCCCTGCCTGGAACAAGAGTGCAAGAGGCCCACTGTCACTGAATATCAACACTAAATTTATTTTTTTATTTAAGTCCTTTTTTTCCTAGAATGCAATACATTCAAGACCTATTCACTATGTATTTATACAGTAAAAAGCCCCTAAAACTATGATGAAAAACTCAAATTGCGAAATCCAATGAAGGTTAGGATGGGAAGAAAGACAATGTCTAAAAAATTAGCATAAAGCTAAAGCAAACTGGGGGTGGCTGGACCAGGAAAGTCCCACTGAATCTTGTATTGAACAAAGTAATTGCTTCATAAAATTTCATTTCTTTCCCTTGAATGTTGCCCTGCACTGGGTAAGAACTGTGTTTCAATTTAGCAAGGACAGTGTAAAGCTGTCATACAAAAAGACTACAATTTTCAAAATTCTATGCCAGCAACTTCCTGCAAACCTCCATATTTAAAATGAGATCTCTTGATTTTACAAGAGAAAGTAAAATACTAGTGAGAACTTCTCTGCAATTTGACTACCCCTAAACTCTGCTTTTGAATGTGTTTGCCTTTTTCTTAGTGTCTCCAATGTGACAGTAAGAAAAAGGTATGTAAAAGCACTCAAAGAATTAAGAACAGACACGGGCTGGCTCTTCATTATAGCAAATTTGCTGTAAGCAAATTGCTTGATTCTGTGGTTAAGTATGTAAACTGGATAATTTCAGCCGCACAAATCTAACAAATTAAAAAAAAAAAAGTGATACCTGTGGATACCTTGCATATACTTTTGTAGTTGAGTTTTCAACTTTTTGAAACTGAATGTTTGTGTGTAACTGCACAACTTAACAGCATTCAACCATGTAACCCATCACATTAATTTAGATGCTGCTCTGTGGGCTTCCCATGCTCTAGTACCTCAAATGTCTATTTCTTGGCTTCATTTTCAAAGCTGTTTAGACCCTCTTTCCTTCACTAACAACATGCCTGTTTCACTTTCAATTTGCCATTCTGTGTCAATCATGTGTGGAAAATTACTTTATGGTACTTCTCTCTTTTCCAAATGATTATGTTCAATTGATGACTCCAAGCAAGAATTCACAAAGTGATTTCCATTGTTCTCTCCAAAATCCCTATCAAAATTCTTCTTCACTTCCATGCCTCAAACCCCCAAGTCATTACACTGTTTTTCACAGTACAGATACTGCTTTTCATTATATCCACCATTCTCAAACTACCTCCTTTTAAATTCCCACCTCTTGTTTATTTTCTAAAAATTATGCTGCAAAACTCTCCAGATATTGCATTGGGCTTCTGCTCTGAATTCATATGGTGCCTAGACAGTGGTGTCTGGTCTGTAACTAAAGATCTGAGGTGCCAAAATTCAAATAAATAAACCGTCTTTTAAAGTGACATAGCAACAGGTACACAGAACCAAACACAATATTTAGAAGCATCCTTAGAAACTGAAAAACAGTAGCTCTTAGCTTTGAGACCCTGACAGCCTGAGACTTTGAGAGCTATCATAAGATAGCATCACCTATCCACCTGGACATTAGAAAAAGTAGGGAATGTATACTTGTGGATTTCAGATGGAAGACAAGATCCTGGACATTCCAACTTCAGGCTATAAAAGATGAAAAATGTACAAAGATTACATAGAACATTGTCACTCTCATCATACCTGATAGGCTTCTACCACCAAATCATTGAGATTTGCTGCTTGGGATTCTATTTGTCTTGCAACAGTACCAGGCAAGAGAGGTAACAGATCCTATGAAAAAGAAATGATTTATGCACAGTTTTAATTTTAAGTATAAATATTGTGCCTTCAGAATTGAAAAAAGAAATCGGGTTTCTAACCTACTTTATACCAATGAAACTGGCTTCCTTGAACAGCAAAAATAACATTGATGTTATTGTCAATCAATTTTTCAGAGAGCTGCCCAAGAGATGGATGCTCCTGCAAAATACAACAGGAAAGAGAAGATTGCAGATTAGTAGGAAAAAAATCTTATATTTCATATATGACACATTACAGATTTCCAAATCAATCAAATTGGATTGATTCCAATCCAATTGTAACTCCTAAATGTATAGAGAATGGTAGACTGACATCAAAACCAGGATGGGGTCATCCTAATAAACAATTAAATCATCAGGGCATCAGCCAGGCTTATCTGTTGCAACTATGTTGATCTGCTGCACAGTGGGAGGACTAACTCTACAGTCCTATTTTGTTGGTTTGAGACTAATGCTTAAAGAAATATGGATATGATGTGGTCCATGTTCCATCTAGAACAGGGAATGATAGGTGGTTCTTGTGAAAAAGTCAGGGAGAAAGTAAAACATGAAGCACTGAAATGAGGTGTGCTTTTGGGAACAGCAAAGAGGGTAATTAAAAATGTTTGATCTTCAGATGTGTATTTTGGCATCAAATGCAGCCACTGGATCAGGTTCTGGCAATGTCAGTATTCGATGCTTATCTCATGACTGACAGCTTTCTTCTCAGCGTGTTCAAGACCTACCTAAGGACTGATGACTCCAGCCCACACCATGATGACCTGCTACATTTCCTTAACCACACCTATGCTTGAAGAAGGCGGCGTGAATTTCACAGCTCTCCTCAGTAGCACATTGTTCTGTTTGGTGGAGTACCTATGACAGCATGTCCTGTGCCAATGACCTGCTCTTCTACACTTCTCATTGAGAGAGATGACATGGATTGGAGAACAAGAGCTGTGTTGCTATCTCTTCATCCAAGATCTGGGGAAGTTCAAGGGTGTCTGTGTGGTCCCAATGGGCTTTGTACACCTGAGTTATGTAAGATCCCTTCAGGTCCAGTACTCCAAACCAAACTGTATCTGAAAATCATCACTTATTAACCAGCCTCAAGTGAATATTTCTCAGGAAGTAAATTCAACACTTAAAATTCATGACTAAAAAGAAAGAAGTGACTGGGGCCTTGGCCTGTAATTCCACTTAAAGAGATTTCATCTGGACATCTCCACTTATATCAGGTACTTCAAATTTTATCCCCCACATACTTTTGTTATCTTTCTTTTCCTGGTATTTTTCACCATCTGCCCCATATTGTCTTTCTCTTGCACAAACGCAGTCTGTTACCCTTAACAATTTCTTTATCCTCAGATTGTCCCTTGTTACTTAAGGCACCCTGCAAGTCAACAGCTCTGCTAGCAATCATCTGGAGATTATAGCAAGACAACTGAGACAAAGAGAGTCTTATGCAAGAGAGCAAAATCCATTTGTCATCATATTGCACCACTATAAAGAGCCTGTATAATGTACAGAGAGAACAAAAGAGTTTATTGGTGTAGTTTGATATTGGCCAGGGTACATTCCTCTCTGTTTCAACGCTTTGGTAAAAGATTATTTTCCTTAAGATAACTGAGGAAAGGTGGATAACACACTATCAAACAGGTCTTACAGCTCCAGCTGGAGAGAGCAGCCTACAACACAGTGCTAAGCCCTCCTTCCTTCTCCATGGTGCAGAGCATAGTGTGGGGCCTCCACTGTGCTGCACAACCCTACAAACCACATGCAATTGGCTGGCAGATCACAGGCACACCAAGTAAAGCCAGATGCTCTGCCAAATCATCCTGCATCATACCAACAGATCATGAGATGATGGCAAAGTAAGTCAGTCCTCTCGACATGATACTAGATCTGTCTGAAATCCAGCAGAATGGCACCTCAGCAACTCTGCAGCTTCTAGCTGAACTCTGCAATCAGGAGTATCAGAAATAGCTTTCCAAGCCTTCATAAAACAAAAACTTACTCAGATGGAGCTTACTGAATTCAAGAGATGACACCCATAGACGTGCAAGGGCTGCAGGGACAGGACCCTCACGCTACCTCTGCTCACAAGGAAGGCTGAACTTCCATTTACTTCTCATCAACAGCTCACTAGAGCATCCATCTTCTTGCTTATTTTTGTTAGAATTGAGTTAATAAAAACCAAACCCAAAACTAAAAAAATCCCAAAGCATTAACAGACCCACACTAGTTTTTTAACTTAAGCATGTAAAGAGATGGCATAAGGTCACTCATGGAGCCTCACTTTGCTTGCTGTGAAAACCTTGCTTTACTTTATGCATTTTCATCTTATCTCTTCCCACTAATGCTCAGGTAAATGTACTTTAATTTTAGATCATCTTTCTTGTTTCAATTGCATCATTCATTTCATTATTTTAACTTACTTGGTTAAGCTGAGAAGATAACTAATACAAGTGTTAAGTATTTCAGAAAGGGAGTTAACCAAGCACAGACCTAAATAAAAGAGACTAGATTTCTTTCTTGTCATGCATTTCTTGGTGGCCTTTCTGTGACTGCTTAGCAGAAGTTAGAAAGAAACATGCAGAAAAAATGTCTAAGTGGAAACATTTCTGATATAAAGGCTAAGCTTGTTCAAATAAATAAAGCAATGTCCTCTAAACTGGCACAAGTAAGAAATAAAAATATGCCAAAATACAATCTTCTCATGACTACCCAAAGCTAAGAATCAAAGCAGGAAAACAATGTAATTGCAGAAGTCTTTAATTTAGCACAGCCAAACAAAATTGTATTGATATGAAAAAACCCAAAAATATGTTTCATATTATGCTTTTAAAAGACTGACAGACTTTCATGATATTTCATTTAAATATCAAATAGTTATTCCAGTCCCCTGATTTCACTCATTCATTTGAAGTTGAATATCTATGAATAAAATAATCACATGTACCATGGATGAGATGAAAAAAAAGCAAGAAAGAAACCAGCACACTTTCCCTTACAGACACAATTGTGTTGTCATAAGTTCTGCTCCAGAAAATTCAATTCCTAGTACTAAGCTGATGCCTACTGTTAATAGGTGGGCATGCAAAAATCAGCACATATTTTTAAAAAAAGGGGTTAGCAACCAGAAAACACATGAATCTAAATATGCCATCAGAGATCTAAGCATCTTTCAAGGTCATTTCATTTGGGTGTCTAAAAGAACCAATTTCATAAAATATGTCAGTAGTAGCTATGGAGATTTTGTTTTCCATATGGGACAGTTCAATTATGGTCTATCAAACCAGAATGCAGAATATCAGTTAAAACACCTTTTTTTTTTTCCAGTCAGCCATCAATCATTGCTGCATAGAAATATATTAAATAATTAAATATTTTTTTTCTGTATTTTCTACTGGTGAGTTTCTCCAGTTGCAACAGAAATTAATTCCCAAAGTTGGACAGAAAATAAATATAGTTTGTTGGTTTTTTTTTCCCTGAAACAGAAAATATCTTTATTATCAGAGGAATCCTGAACACCAAAAAGATTTGTACCTTTAGCAATTACTTAATAAGCAGAGCAAACATTCTCATATTTATAGCACTGAAACTAAGAAAACTAAAAAGAAAGAAAAACAGAGAAAGTTCTGCATTGGGAAAGCAAAGATTCAGGATTATTTGTTCTAAGTATAATAAACTGAATAGACTGATTAGAAAGAAAAAAAAAAATTCTGACATCTGTGAGGAAATATCCAAGAGGTGATAGAGAGAGTATATGAATGCAAGAACGTCAGATAAATGGAAATCTAAATAACCTTCCTGTTAGCACACACTAATCTCCCTCCTCCACTCAGCAAGGTCCCAAACACTCACTGCTTCCCAGAAACCTCCCGTATTTCATGATAACACAACAGCCAGCCTCTTCCTGCTGCTCCACCATCCTTGTAAATAACAGTTGCCGGGATTACATTCAGGTCTAACCTCACTTACACAAGCACTCACTGATTTCCACACTGCTGGCTCTGGCTGAACACAGGCTGTACACTTTAACTAAGGGCAGCCAGCACTGAGAACAAAACTTCAATGTGCTCTAATTGTACCACAGCTCGTACTTCTGTTTTCTGGGGATTACATTGCAAGTAAGCAGTGATTCATGTTTTTTAAATAAACAATTCATATTTATTTAAGAAAATACCCAAAGCAGTTGAAACCTACAATTCTTAGGCAAAAATTCCTTTCTTCAGTCGCTTATGACTACTTTATCCATTACTGGAGAAAATATTTTGAAAGCTAAAAGATCTGTTGAAGGCATCTTACTTTGCTACAGCAGATTTGCTGCAACTTCTTACAGAGATTCGTATTACCACACATTGGTTTTCTACTGTGAAATCTGAATGCATTTAATGCTAGTCCATCCATTTAAGGTAGCTCACTGCTGTTGTATGCCCTCTGGTTTACTATTACCAAGGCTTTCAACCAATGCTCCTGTGTGTCCTCTGACCATAAACCATAGCCACTACCTTTGTCTTGTGAGCACAATTGTACAACTATTACCAGCTTCTGCTTGTGCAAAATATCACACCACACACTTCTTAATTATGTTTTATACAAAAGTGTGTGATATTTATGAGATGATAATAAAAACCCACACCAAAACCACGACATATCCTTCTTGCTGTGTACTGTTTTTTTCAGACTTCAAAATACTTTAGTCCACACAAAAAGAATGCCAATATGCTAGGTGATCAATTATTAATTTCACAATTTGCCTACCTGGAAAAATATTATTCTAATAATGGAAAAAATAGCAATGCTTTGAGAGCAGTCTAAAAACTTCCTTTACACAGTTTTGCACTGCCTCTCTGCAGGCAAAATCTGTGACATATACCTTACCATACTCGTAGCTTTGATGTACACATTATCTTTCAAGTGACAGTTTCCATCATGGGGAATTACAATTCCTGCTAATTTACTATCAAGGGCTAGATGGGAAGTTTGATCTGTCATCACAAGAAGCAGCCGCTTTGCTTCTTTACGCCACCCAATATGGCTCTACAAAGAAAACAAAATTAGGCATAAGAAATAGCTATCTATTTTCTAAAGTAATCAACAACAAAATGAAAAACTAACATGAAAGACCACTTTCAGATATTACACTGCCTGGCAGCGCTGCATTTAGACCAGGCTATTTAAAGCATTTTGTGTGGAAATAAACATAACGTACTACATCTGAAAACTATGAATTTCTTTGCTTTTTTCCATTTACCATTTTCTTTGCTTTTTAAAGAACCATGTCCCACTATACATGCCAGCTCTGCTTTATAGAGTGGGCTTGATAACAGCTGCCACATTGCATATGTCGCTATTAAGTACAAATACAAAGCCCATAGTTTGTAAAATCCTCTGGGGTCCTAGGAAGCATTACAATCAGTAAATATGCATTCATCCATATTGATACTTGGCACTCTGTTCTATTTTTACTTTGATTTATATTCTCATCACTCTATAATTTCCTTTTCCTACACAATTTCCTGGAAAGTTCATTAGTATGCAATCATAAATCAATAAACTGAAGTTTGAAGGCCTTAATGCAATTATAAATTGAGAAATTTCTTATTAAGCAGCAAAATGCTACATTTATTCACCATCTTAGGAGATTGATAACAAAGTGGCAGCCTCAAGGGTGAATGGAATGGATTTTAGGAATTCAGTGACATGAAGGATGCAGCAGGGTAAGCTTATACCTAAACTGATTTAGATGCCAAATTGTGTTTTCAAAACATTTATCTCCCCAATTATAATCAAATTTCTGAGGCACACAAGAAACACATCATATGCTTTTTCATTATTCCCTCTCTTGCTTATTCCATCTTCTTTTTCACTGCTTCCATTTTATCTCCTTCTTACGACACAGAATCTCTACCATTCCCATGTGAAACATGTACCTGCAATGCAGTCCATGTACTCAGACACACTTTGTGACTCACTCTCTGCCTTCCTTTCTTCATGGTGAGGAATTTAGCTCCCTTCTCAGGCTCACTCTCTACTACCTCTAAATGGGGATTAAATTTCTCAAGTCAGAAAGAATAACAAGTACTGAGGGGTGTTATGTCTTTTCCAACTCAAACTTTAGGCATCAGTCTCCCTCGGACACTCCTAGACAGCATCCCTCTAAAGAAAGAGTATTTTAAGTGTTATTTTTAAACAGGATTTGTCCTAAATCATCCCAAATTCTCCTCCAGCACTGTAAAAACCTCTTCTCCTAAGAATCCATCGTTTGACTTTGTCACCTTGAGACTTTTTTAGTTTTAGGTAATCCTGTGAGGGGCAGGGAGTTGGACTCAATGATCCCTATGGGTCCCTTTTAACTTGAGATATTCTGTGATTCTTATTCCTACCAAAATATGTCACAGCAATCACAATTTTAAAGTAGCTTCATGTCCTAACCTGCTACCTTTAGCAACTATGATGTATTGGTTAAAGCAAGATGGAGCATGTTATAAAGGTTTATTGTAGGCAAAATGAGTGCACATTAATATAATTTATACTTCATGATGATCACTATGAATTTCACATTCTTCCCATCCATTTCAGTTCACAATTCACTTACCAGGAAAGCCTCCACATTCTGAAGAGTATTTCCATTCTATTGTTCTTGGAAGCATATATTATTCTAGAACTCACATGTCATAAGTGTGGAATGTGTCCAGTGAGAAACACTGAATTTTTAGGAATTTTTCCAAAGTTCCAGAATAATTTTTTGTAACAGCTTCAATCACAGTGTTTATGAAGTGTGTTTTTTACTTACCTGCTCATCAAAATTTGAAAATAAAATTGGATCAAACTATTCATTTTTAGCATAGTTTGGATTACTTTTTGTTCTTGAGATATTGTACTGCACAGAAAAATAGTGTGAAGATGGACAAGATAAAACAATTGTCCTGACATCATTCTAACAGATGAGAAACATGCCAAGCCTGTGATTTGAATGAGTGTTGAATATTTTATAGAGCATTACCAAACCCATGAATAAGCCAAATTTCAAAATTTGTATTGCATTAATATGCATAAGAAGAAAAACAAGAACCAAAAATAGCTCTCCAGAGCAAAACAAACTCTCTTTATCTAATACGCTTACAGGTTAAGACTTATTGATGCAGATTTTTTATATCCTTTTATATTTATGCAGATCTTTTATTTCTGCATGGGAGAGACTGTGATGAAATTTTATCAGTATACAAAAGTTAATTTTTAGTTGTTTTGTACTGTTTTAAAATTTGAAATCTTTAAAAGTTGAGAACATATAAGTTCTTCGGTTTTCCTTATGCAGATCCTTAAGCAGATATGTAAAACATCTCATTCAATTTTCAAGTTCTTGAGGAGAAGAAATGTCAAGCAGTATGTCTTCATTGAGGAACACAAGCAGTGCTTTAATGATTTTTGAAACAAATTATATAATTGACTGAAATACATGTGTCTGTTCAACCAAGAAGCAGTTGCTTTCATCATTCATCCTATGTTGGTTAGGCTGGTTAAGGCCAGAAATTGAAGATCTATAGCCAATACTGAAACATGTTCCCTCATACTCTCCTTTTTCAGTTTCAATTGGAAATTTATACTTATGGGGGAAATAATGGAAAAGGGGGAAAAACTCAGTATTATCAGGCATAGCACTGGCATTTTGAATTCAGGAACACTGACCACTAGTTTATCTATCTATCTATCTATCTATCTATCTATCTATCTATCTATCTATCTATCTATCTATAATGCCTGAATTACTATTTTTTTACTCCTTTGTAAATAAGCTCCTTCCTTACCTGGCACACGGCTGCTTGGAGCATTGCATCAAAACCCCCTTCAGGTGTATCAATATTCCCAGAAATTTTTTGTTTATTCACTGCATTTCTGAATTCTGCTATATTGTCAGTCAGGGATAGCACATGAATATAACCATGAGGAGGCATACAATCTAAATTGTAGTCACTGTACAAAAACAAAACAAATCAAAAGCCTTATTTTTCCTTTGAAGGAGATGGAAATATTGAATCCCCATTAACCCATAAAATCCTAATATAATTGAATATGTAGGTAGTGCAGAATAACAAAAACTTACAGAAAAAAAGAGCAATTCCATGTGAAATTAAGTTCAGTGGGAAGTAGCTATAATTAACTACAAAAAATGTATATTATCTAGTATTTTATGGAATTGTGTATATAATAACTTAGTTAATATGTTTACAGTATATATGTAATGTTTAATACAGAACAAAAAATGCAACAAAAGGGATGGTATGACATCAGGGAGTATATAAACCCTTTTGGAATATCTACAGCATGGTACAACTTTGCTTTTCATTATCCTGAGAAAGGACTATCATACTGTAACAGTAAGATCTTTTAATAGGTTGCTACCCAGGCTATTGAATTATAAAAAAATCTAAGCTCCTATATCCACTAGTGCTACATAACTGTTCACAAAATTAATACTGATATTAATAATAATTACCTCATCAACTAGATGAGAAAATCCATTTTCAGTAACATCTTAGCAAATGATACTTTCTCAAATTATGCATAAGGGAGAAAGATTTTCATTGTAGGTAAGCTAGTGAAGCAGTACCTAGTCAGGTCATTGACCTGGGACCCATTCACAGCCGTGATTTACAGCACAAGTTGAAGGGCTCATCCATCTCAGAGATGCTGAGTCACTTTTAATTCTCTTAATTTCTACTGCATCCAGACTGTAACCTGCTCTCCTCCAAACCAAGGTACAGCTGAAGATGAGAAACTGGCACTGAAAGGATTAATACCTCTGCAGAAGTTTCCTCTTAGGCAAAATACATCATGACCTAGAAATGCTAATCAATATCCACTGACTATATATAGATAGTCTAGATGACTGCTTTATCCATAGATTGTCACATCTCTAGAATGAATTCCACTACTAGGAACCAATTCAAAACCCACTGAAATCACAAAAGGTACTTAGGGACTTCACAGAACTTTGCATCATGTCTTCCCAGGATAGGCAAGCAAGAAAATATGAAGAATTAATATTCACTTTTCCAGCTACTATCATTTATACAGCTCTGAATTTGTTGTGTATAATCTTGTTTTCCAGGGGGTTTTGGAAGTGATCCATCACTTTATGTAAGTGTTGAACCCAAGGTATATAAGGCATGGCATGAACAAAGAAATGCAGGCCAGAACATTTTGTATTTACAAGAGCAGTTCCTTCACATTAGAACTGTAGCAGTAGATCAGAGAATCGATTACATTCATTAAATGTGCTGAAAGAAACCACATCATGTTGACAAAAGTAGAATTTTCACAAAAGAGTTAATGAATATATGACCATACACTAGAAAGTACCTGGGTCAGAAAAGTAAAAGCTTTGTGATGAATCTAGGTATCATATCCAAAATAATGAAAACCACAACAGTTGAATTTAAAATTAAATACAAAACATAACCAAAGCAGCATGGGTTTTGGCTTGTTTTGCTAAAGAAAATACAGTACATTTTTTCTGATACAGAAACAGTTTTTCTGAAATCACTCACCAGGTATTTCAGAAGTAATCACTGTAAAAGAATTTTCAGCATTTCCTTAAGAACTTTGTCAAAGAACCATGGTAAAAGGAAACAAGGATAAATTCTGAAGAATTTTAAAAATAAATATGTTTAATACACATTTCTGTCATTAAATACACTTATCAGTGCTACAGGAAATGTAAAAAGACTACATACCTGCACTGGTTATGGATTCTACCTGGATGAATGCTAATATAAGGTGACACAGTTTTATCCACATAGGATCCAAATCCAAGTCGAAAATCAAGAGAAATATTCTCCATCTTTTTAGATAAAGCAAATCCAACAGAATTTAACTTTTCTATATTGTTGTGCATAGAGGCTGAGACATCAACTAAGTAGTAAAGATCCACAGGATATTTCTCTAAAGGACGAACTTTTAACATAAAGTTTGCTTCACTTCCTGATTAAAAAAAAAGGAAACAAACATGTTTATTTACTATTTTTGAATGGATATGCTTAAAAATACATTTATTTTTGTATCAGCCTCACCACTTAGCCTCAGTTGTTTGTGTCAGCAAAGAGAAAAACAAACAAACAAAATCTCCCAGGAGTAAATGAAACCTTGAATTAGCATTCAAAAATAAGCCATAAAGGGGTGTTTTGTAGAATATCTTGGGTTTTTTTTCTTGCAGGAGCACTGTGCAATTTATTGTAAAAATCTGACTTCTCCCCATTTTGTTTTAAATTCATGGTTATGCAATCCCTTTGGCATCATAACAAAAAGCAGTGGTGGCTTACAAAGGACACAGATCTGCATACAAATTGGGGTCAGTCACTTCAAGGTTGTCACTTCAAAGTATGTAAATGTATCCTGCAAATAGTTTGTCATATGACAGACTCTAAAACTACATACACACCACAAGGCCAGCACAGCTTCAAAAACTCACATAAATACTGATACAAGTTTATACCAAACTGCTTCCAAAGATTTGATGAGAAAACTCAGTGGGATCAAAAATATATATATTTTTAAAAAATGTTTTAATATTAAAAAATTCCATCTTTTGGCATATATAAAACAGAACTCTTATTTCAGGATGATAGATGCCAATGCTTTGGAAGCTGCTAAAATTAATCCTCACATTTTTGCTTTTCTAACATTCTATAATGTCAGCAAAACAACGGAAGCAATTTGTACGGGCAGAGTTGGGTACAGGAATGCACAGTTTCAAATTAGCCATCATTTTATGTTATCCAAAGTGTGAGGTCACAGCAGAAATGAGTTTAAGACCTTAACGTGATGAGTGGGGAATCTAATCCAGTATTGTGCAATGAAGATATAGCAAAGAACAGGAGGAAGGAGGATGTTACAGAAGAACTATGCAGGTTTTCAATAAAAACTATCAAAAGGTACATCTGGTACAGAGATCTTAGTCAGAAAATTTAAATATGCAAAGTACTTTCTTCCAATGATCTTTGAACATAGTCCATCTGAAAATGTCAGGATTTGTCTGTATTAGGTCTTGCATGAGGAAAACTATTTCAATGTGCTGTAATTTATGTTTCCTCTTTGCCAATGGAAATTGAATTACTTTTTGTAAATGACCCTTGCAGGTCTCCAGTTTGCACACAGGGAGATACTGAGTACAGCTCTTATTTTTTCCCACATAAATCATAAATGATGAGTATATGTAAAGAGTGACAAAACCCCCAGTATCAAAACAAAGGCATCTTTGTGTGATTATAGTGTATCAAATGTCTGTTTTGAGGAAAAACTATAGTGGCATATCTGTGTATTTCCTTGAGGTGGAAAATATGGGCAAGATAGCTATATATAAAAAGTTTTCCTTCTGGAGTCCTTGAAATTTCATTCTTCTGCCTCCCTGATCCAAAAACTTCTATAAAGCATAAGGAAATCCAAACTTAATTTCATTACTTACTGAAAAGAAAAAGGTTAATGAAACCAAATTTCAGAAAGCTAACTTTTTTCCTATGAGTCCACCATGCCTTTGGAAGTAAATGTGATTACAGACAGAGCTTAGCAGTAGCTCAGTTCTCAGTTTCTCAAAGCAGAGTATCAGTCACTTCTTTGGAAGGAGAGTGAGGAAAGGAGAAGTGCTGATGTTACCTTGACTGTTTTATTATCATATATAGTGAAAAACAGAGATCCTTTGTGCTTTATACTCATGTAGATAATACTTCCTTTTTCTCTGGTAGTTGACAGAAAAATATAATTTTAGATTTTAAATATTGCTTTCTCCAATTATTCTTTGCAAAAGAAATAAATAAATTATTCGTGAAAGATCACTCTGCATGCCTTTATATCACCTTCACTTCTGCTGTTGGCTACAGCTTTTTTAGAGACAGAGAAAGAACACTGATTTAACTAGACTTATGCTGAAGGCAAATGGAGATATACTAGTTATAAGAAAATTCAGGCAGTGAACACCTAAGTCTTCTTTAGGAATGTAGTCTTTTCTTATATATATAATTATATATGGTTTTGGTATTTTTCTAGTTGTCTAGTCAGTGCACTTGAAAGTAAAGAAATAATCGAGAAGTTTATCAAATTATGAATTTGGGGATTATAATTCTACTTACTTTCAGAATAAGTAGTTTATACACATGTAAGGCAAAACTGTTAGTGTAAGTGGCTAAAGAATCAAGAAACCACATAAGAAAACAGGAAAGACTACCTAAGATTCCTTTTCCACTTATTACTTGCATTATTCTGACCTTCAGCTTGTTTGACAGAAACAATTTTTGGTGAAGACAATACTTGAATATGGAAGACACACTCACAGTTCTACAGTACAATGCTATAGCATCATTCTTCCAAATCATTATTCCAGATGCCTCTTAATAAAATATCTGTACTTAGAAGCATTGCTTTTGTTTTAAATTTATTATAATATCAATGTGTTAGAGATGACCCAACCTGGACGCAGTTGGACTGAAACTTTTCCTGGTGTCACTTGTGTATTTGTTTCATGGTCACTAGGTATTGTGACATGAACCGTGGGGTTTTCAACCAAATCTGATTGGCAGCCTCTTTTCATTAAGTTGAAAACAGTGTCACAGCGTCCCTTCTGTGTTGTGCCAGCCATGAAATCCTGTTTAATAAGAAACAAAAAGTACAAAAAAATCTGAGCTGAAAAAAACCTATACTAACTTCAAAGGATGAAGAAAACCAAAATATTGGTCTTTGAAACAATAAAATATGCTACTATAATTGCATAAATCATAGAACAAGTTCCTGAAACCATATGTTTTAAATAATGGCAATAATGCAATATTTAAATTAGAATTTAAACCTAATTGCCACATTGACCTTTTATTCACAGAAAAATTTTTAAATGAGAAACAGGATCTTGCACAATCAGAATAAGCTGACTTTGGAGAAAAAGTTAATTACACACTGTTATTAAATCACTAAAAAAAGTTCTGTGCCATGCAATGAGCTCATTTTAGCAAGAAAGCATCATTCCCACAACATCAAAAAGGTTAGTTTTCAGAAGAATACACTGGTAAAGTTACTCAGGCTGATATTTAGTAGGAACACCAGAGGTCAGCTCTAGATTTAGCCAGCCTGAATTTATCTATTCCACTACGCAAAATCCAAAGGCCTGCTGAACTACATAATTTCAATTCCTGGAAAGAGGAAACCATGTATAATTACAGGAGTGGACAGTTTAGGATTCCACCAACATAAAAGCTCTTGTAGCAATAGAAAAGTGATTAGTAGAAGGATGATGTCAGAAGCAGCCCATCCTTTGCTGCACTGAAAGAGAAAAGTTGTCAAAAATTGTGCCAAAATGATCCAATGCAAAATTCCTTCCTGACTGCTAATATGATGATTAATATGATTCTGATCATGCAGGGGAAAAAAACAAACAAAAAAAAAGACAAGATCTTTTGTAGTCTTTCAAAGTAATGGTCCATCTGAGTCAAAGCTGGAGACCAACCAAATAAAGGACAATCTCTGATCTTTCAGATGGAAATGAGAAAATAAGCAATCGAAAATATAGCAAATTGTGTATTAGATAATAGTCATCTGAACCCTGTAAAGACTGGAGAAAATCCCTGAACAATGAAATATGACAGTCCTGTATCTTGTTTTTCAAATTTCAAAGCTTATTTTTGTAGTTAATCTCGGATGTATTTTTTCTATAACCTTCCTTATTAAAAACAACAGAGGCTACTTTTTAAGTTACTGCTATTTATATACCCTTTTTAGTGTCTACTTTCCAAAAAGCTAGATTTTTAAATGTGTAAAGAACTTAGCTACTCTCATTACCAGTAATGACTAATAGATTTGTAGTGTTTTCTGAGGTCCATTGTGTGTGAGTATAAATTCAAAGCATCTCCAGAGTTCCTCAGGGCTGATTATCTTATTAAAAAGATTTTTCTCATGAAGCAGGCAGGCTAAGCTGCACTGCAATATTTCCATCGGCAATAATATGGGTTATGCCATTCCATAACTATGGATGGTGTGTTGGTGAGACAGCTATTTAAGACGGTTTGACAAAGCCCTGGTGTCCATGAACAGCTCTCAAGATTGACTTGAGAAGTGAAGCAGGACAAGCAGAGCAGAAGTGAAACCAGCCAAGTCCATATGCCTACTTAGAAGGGGACCTACTGCAGCTCCGTAGCACGGGAAAGTTAGCAAATGCTGTTCTGTAATAAATGCAGATGGAGGAGGATAAAGCTTTGCCCTTTGCAAGACAGGACATGGGGCCAGAGTAATGAACCCCTCCACACTGTAATCCATTGTGCCATCTACACGTGTTAAGCTTCCTGTGGGAAAAGAAGCCCTGCATGCCTCTACCCATCCTTGTATTACTTAGCCTTGTACCTTTGGCAGACTAACTTAATGATTCCAAGACATAATATCTCAAATATTGCCAGTGCCTTACACTTCTTATCTCTGCCAGACACACCCCAGGAACTTATCTACCTTCTCTGCTAACCTGAAAGCTACCACTGGTAATTTCCACATGAGCTTAAAGAGCATACGAGCTTGTGATTGTCAGCGACATTCTTCAAAAGCTTGCTCCTCTGATGTCATTACTCAAAATCATGCTATCAAGAAGGTTATTTTTTTTTCTGTCAAACAAAACCAGAAATTCCTATATTCTTACAGTTTGCAAAATAACAATAATTTCAGAATCATCCTTGCTATTTAAGATCTAGCTTCTGTGCTGTCTCAGAACTGATAGTTTCCAGTGTCAAAATGAGAAAAGCATAATTTTTTCCATTTGTGATAGGATCATAATATAAGGTGAAGTCAACTCCACTTTAGTACAACCTTTTGCTAAATGAAGTAGACATATATGTATAGACTTGTTTTCATATATGATAAGAACTTTATACAAAATACTGATAAGTAATTTTGCTTTTGAAGACAAAAACTGTTAAACTCTCAAAACTACTGTAAGTCTGCCAAAGCTGTCTACAAAGCAGATGGAATGCATTAAAAAGGTCTCACTTTATTTAAAATTACTGCAATTTTCCAAATAAAAGATTGCATTTTCTCCTTTGGAAACAAAATCTATTTCACATGATTTCTCAGGTTCTGTCTCTAGGGGTCATTTAAAGATTTTCTTGCTATTTCTCACTATAATTTTCTCAATTTAAAGGTCTTTATCTTTATAAAGATCAGAAGCAGCTAAAATATAAAGTCAAGTGTAATTAAGCAAAATGCCATACCTCTTGAGCACACCATCCACACTCTGGACCCAAAGCAAGACACTTTGTGCATGTTACTGCATTTGAAGTGGCACATCTGTTTTCCGCTGCAATGAAATACAAACCCAAACATTCATGATTTATGATGATATGTGAAATTGTAAAATACCTAATTTTATACTAAGATTTTAAAAATTACTTCTCCAGATTAAGAGTGATGATAATGTATCAAAACAGAAGTAAAACAGAATAAAGGCACTGTGGCGAGGGAACACAATTTTCTTTTATCTACAGTCTAGAATTATATGCACAGATTGAAGAAATTCCATTCACAAGGCCAAATGTTTAAGATCCTGATTTAGAATAATTCTGAAGTGCAAGTTTATCTTTGGCATGTATTTTGCTGATTTACTGCCTAAAAGAAAAGAATTTACTAGGTAGCTTATCATTTCACAGACATTTTCCCTTTAAGTCATTTACACTTGACTGAATTATTCATTATTCACTCCTCATGAAACCCAAAGTATTTTCTCACCTTCTATAAATATTCCCCCTCTGCATATTCATTTTTGCAATGAATAGTTTCCCAGAAGAGGAAGATTTTCTTTTCCAGAAGCAAATAGAAATGAATCCAACACTACATGTGTCACAGATTGAAGACACATCATTCTGTACCAACAATTGCAAAAAGTGTGCCTACTTACATGTCTACCAGCAAAGTCCTTTATATCCTTTTCATATTTTTGTTTTATAGATCATTGCTTAAGTTACTACTCTTTCCTATAAAACTTTGGCAGTTAGTGTTGAGAAGAAGAATCTTTTCAAGGGGCTTGGTCAGCTTAGCTTGAAAGCCAGCATTAGTGTATCCTTTCAGCATGTTGAGCACAAGCCTCTTGCAGAGCAGTGCACAAGACAGAAGTCACCTGCAAGGAGTTATATGGAGGGCACAAAATGCACAGCCCAGTAGTACTGCTGTTAAACAACACTGCTTTGTGGCATGTTCAGCATGTCATATTAAACAATATAAAGAGAACAAAATAAGTTTAATTTCTGCATACAACCAAAGGTTACATATGTTAATTGGTCCACTGTGACATCATCAAAGCAGTTTGATGAAAGGTTTTGGTGACATATACTGTCTCAGATTATTTCTTTCCAACCTGCAATAATAATGCAAACCATCTTTCTTCTTAGGTAATGAGACAAACTTCTCACAAAACAGCTGTATTAGGAAAATATGTACTAAATTTTTTTTTAATATTTATTTTGCTGATTTCAGCTACGGATTCTAAGATGAGATCCTGTATCATATAAACAGCTAGTTTTCAAGAGGTCACTTAGAATGATGGCTGATGCAAGCCACTAATCACAGTTTTCACTTTATTATTATCAGCAACACATATATCAGTATTAAAAAGCCCAGTGCAGCACACTTGCAGCATTATACTGATAATGTGTAGATTAGTGGAAATTTAATTCATTTCAAAGGTCAAACTGATATTTCTATTTCATATGAACTACTGCTGACAATTTTTGCCATGAAGGCAATGTGAGGAAAAAAAAAGCATAAATGAAAAGGAGAGCTACAGGTATGATATAAACAGTAAGTTGAAAAGCAGCCCAGGAAGGTGCTGGAATGCAGGGAAAACTGATTAAAGGGTGGGAGAGGTTGGTAAGGATAAATAAAGGAGGAGTTGCTAAGGAGAAAGAAAAGAACAAGACAAAATCTGAGCATTTCTTTTGGTTTCTTCTTGTTATAAAAACAAGCACAGCAAGTTTTACTTGGATGTAATGAAATGAGAGCAAGCTTATTCAGCACTAACACAATAAAACTTTTTTTGTAATTATAAGAAGATAGCAACTGTAACTTTACACAGTTCTAGTTCTGCACTCTGAAAGATCAGACCTGGACGCCATAGAAAATGTTGCCACATACTGCAAGAGAGGGAAAAAAGCATGAAGATTTTGTGTAGGTACTGACATGCCCAGGGTTGTAGACCTTGCCACAGATCCCTCTCTAGACAGTATTCATAAAGCACAAAGACTCAGAATGAAAAGGTGTTGAAGGAGTAAAAAATAAAAGGAATGTAATTGTTCTTGGCACACAAACAACCCTCCCATCTTCAGTTGAGTATCAAAGACAGCAGAGATGAAAGGCTTTACAAGAAAAAGAGAGTGATAAATTCAGAAAAAGTGTCAAAGGACAAGGAAAAGTATACGTTGCTGATCTGCAGCATAATAGTGGTTTTAAGACCACCATGGAGCAAAATAGGGAGAAAATTACATGAACTTTGAAGTTAGCCATTCAAGTTAATATTCATTGCAAGAGATAGAGCTGTTCTGATAAGAATAAATAGCTGATATGAAAAAATGTTTTTCTAGCTATTCAGATAAGGAATAAGAAAGATTAATTCCTTGTCATTGCAATCAGTAAACCAAGTAACCCAAATAATAAGTATGGTCTAATTAATTTCCTGCAATAATATCTGAAACTCCATTCTTAAGACATATAATCCAATCTGCAAAACACATACTTTAATTTAAATGCCATTGACCACATAACAAAATAGTAACACCTTTTTTTTTAATATGCACTTGCTAAAAAACCCAACAATATGTGTCTATGTGCCATTTTCCAGATGCATTGGAAAAGTGACTGAAAAATAATTGTCCCAGTTTTTTTTCTGTATGGTTAGTTTATTGAATTTATTGAAATTTGATTTAGTTTATTAATACAGCCTGTCTAGTAAAACACAGGAGGGTCTGTGTTCCTTTGCAGACTGATAAGACAGAAAAAATATCTTAAACTCCAGTTTCAGTGTGATCACAGCAGATAAAACATTTTACACAAATAAGATATACAGTACTCCTGGATGCAAAATTCTTCGCTGATAACTCTCCAGTCTCAAGTGTTCAATTTTCACAACATGAAGTCACAGATTGGCAATAGAGAAGCTTGGTACCACTGGAACAAAAGGTTGAAATTTTGTGTTTTTAATAAAGAGAAACCTGAAAAAGTTGAATTTATTTATTTATTTATTTATTTTTCTGTCTACATCACTACTCTGGTTCCCAAGTACACAGTCCATTATAACAGTAACATTTATGGACATGCTTTCATTCATCAAATATTTACTATTTAGTTGTAAATCTACTCTAAAACCATAACTGTTGAAGTTTAAACTTTTCAGTTGCTTTAAAAAAAACATGGTAAAGCAAGGAATGATTTTTTTTATGAGTTGACTTAAAAAAGAACTGAGATTTTTCCTGCCACTTCACCAAAAACAGAGTCCAGACAAGACTGAGTAACTGTTCAGCCAAAGCTAAGGGCTAGTTTCTACTGGCTTAGTTTGAACTGATGTATGCCAAAAGGTATTTTCAACGAGGGCCAAATACTGTGTTGGGAACTGCACAGGCATATGCATATAATAAAAAGTGCATCAGGTTAAACTACACTTTTCCAGCCTACTCTGCAAAATTACAACCATGCTCCAACAACTACAGCTATTTACAGTGATCACAGGTGTGGCAAGCCTAAACTCTCTGCAACAAGAGGGATCAAGGCAAGACAAACATCCTATATGTTATAATTATGTCCAGCCTCCTTATTATGAAAGTAGAGCTTATCACAATTAGGTATTTATCTCAGAGATGAAACAGCAATAAAGCACTCTGGCATCTCAGAGGGGGTGTTAAACAGGTTTTCAAACAGACAGCACTTTGTTCAAGTACAGCCAAGAATTTGGATTTGTATCAGCTTCACAGTTGGTACATGCTTGTGCTGGTTTTGGAGGGTGTACCACTTGCTTTCTTAAAAGAGAAAGCTCAAATATAGCTTGCAGCTTATACTCCCTGATCATGGCCCTCAGACTGGTGAACACTCATTGAGGCAAGAACATAGGAAAATATCCATCTCCCACAGAGCTGGTTTTCCTTCAATTGTGTATCTCATCTTGTTCTAGGGCAGCAATCAGCCAGGCTATCCCTCTCCACAGATAATGAATGAGGCCTTCACTAACTTGTGAACGTGTGTATACCCTAATTTATGAAGAAAGCTGCAGCTTTTATGCAGTACACTGCAGTTACCTTCACCTTTTTATTTTCAGAGCAGAGCAACATGACCCTGCAGAGGGGACAGACAGTGGCTGTCCCACGTAACACATGGCTTCCCCATTCACTTTGGCTGAGCGTGCAGGTACAATGAGAAGTGCTATAAAAATGCTACAGAGGAGGGATTATTTTTCCATGATTATTATGTCGGAGAGTTACTTGCTCAGATTACTGGAAAAAAAATGAGAGTCTGTGCTTTAACTGCCAATCCTAAAACCCAGTCCTGGAATTAGGGATTTTTCCCCCTCTTCCTTTTTCCAAACAAGAAATAATTCTCCCTGCCTTTGGTGCCATGCCTTAAAAACACACTATGTCATCACCAGATTTTCCAATAAGATTACAAGGTATACCTCAAAATCAGCTTTAAGAGGTACTCAACCATGCCCAGGAAAGGAGATTTCAACTTGAATACTGTGCTTTATAAGAAGATTCTAAGATTACTTGAGAAGAATACCAAACAACTTTTCTTTCCTCTCCCGTTTCCTCTATTATATATGAGATTGTTAATTTGTTTCACTTTGTCATTAACTTTTGGGCACTTTAGTTTCACTATTCAGACAGCAAGAAGCTAAGCTGCACACTGATTTTAAAATGGTTTTTGCCAGCAACAAAAGAAGCAGCAAACTAAAACTCTGCAAAGTAGAGACATGTTTTTGATAAGAAAATAAAGATGTGTAAAAGAAAGGTGCAAAACACAATTAAATTATGAGCTCTCAAAAATATTTCTGTAAACCTGGCATGTGAGTAAAAACACCTTTCCAAACAAACAAGATAAAAGACCCCTCAAAACCAAACTTTGCACATCTAAATAAATACAATGAAAAGAATCACTAATGAACAAGTCCTGATAACTGATAGAGACTTTCCATTCCTAACTCTGCTGATATACACCTCCCCCCTCCCCCGAGAGTTTTGGGGTTCCCAAATTAATCTGCATTACCATATGAAGACAGTACCTTTTAAACATGAGGGTCAGCTACACAGGTGACTTAAAAAG